GTGCCCTCGGCTTCCCAACTTATCTCTGTGCTAGGCTTGGCTTGTGCGGTCAGGAAGAATGAGAAGAATACCTAGAAAGAGTAATCGGTTGCCATAGGCACCCTCTGGGAGCGGGGTGGCCCCAGATACTGTGTTCATAGTGTCTGCCTGTGATGACACTCCAAGATCTGCCTTGCTCTGGGAGCAGTTAGTTACCAGGTGGAGCCGCTTCAGGTTCCTGTATGACTCATCAATGTCACCAAGGCTACCAATCCATGCCACACCCTGACCTACAGCTCATCGAGACTGAAACAACACAGCACATACGTAGTCCCACACTATTATAGATTGCCCAGTGCCAGGGTAGGCTTGTGGGCTAAGAGCACAACAACCAGCCATGGGTGGTGCCAGCTAGAGCAGAATTCTATTAGACGTGAACCCAGTATCATTTCTGTAATAAAAATATAGAGAGTAGAGGAATGGCTCTGCAGTTAACAGTGCTTGCTGTTCTTGCTGAGGCCCCAAGTTTGGTTCCCAGCATGGTAACAGGTGGCTCCCAACTACCCGTGGCTCCTGTTCCCAGACCTGGGTGGCCTCTAGATTCTGCAGGCACCTGAGTGTACATGTACATAAACTCACGCAGGTAGACACACAAAAGCACACCTTTCAACAGTTTACAATTTTTGAAATATTTTTAGATGAAATAGAATTACATCACTTCCTCCCTCAGACCCTCCCAGTTACCTTCCCTTGAACCCCTCTCATGTCCCTCAAGTTGATAACCTCTGTCTTTGGTTATATTTGGCGGTGTGTGTGTGTGTGTGTGTGTATAGACAGAACCTGAAGAGTCCATTTTTGTTGCGTGTGTATACATACTTTCAAGACTGAACTATGCGTTGGACAACTAGAAAGAGGGCTCACCTCTGGGAGAGGCTAGTTCTCCTTCTCCCGGCAGATGAAAGTTGCTTGTAGTTATTTGTCTGGAGATGGGGGCGCCATGAACATCTCCCCTTTCCATGCTAACATGTCCACTGATATCACTATTGTACAGTCATGTTTATGGAGTCCTTTCTAGAAGAGACTATCTCACAGCAGGCTTCCTGCTATTCTGGCTCTTAAAAATCTTTCCAGGGCTGGGGAGATGGCTCTGTGGTTAAGAGCATTGCCTGCTCTTCCGAAGGTCCTGAGTTCAATTCCCAGCAACCACATGGTGGCTCACAACCATCTGTAATGAGGTCTGGTGCCCTATTCTGGCCTGCAGGCATACACACAGACAGAATATTGTATACATAATAAATAAATAAATATTAAAAAAAATCTTTCCACCTCCTCTTCCCTGATGTCCCCTGAGTTATATCTGTAGGACTTGTGATGTTTATGTAGGTATTGGGTTGGACTCCCCATTATCCATTGATTTTAGCATTGTGTCCAGTTGCAAACACAAACTTTTTTAAATCATAAAAAGTAAATACAAACTGTGGATCTTGCTTCATAACTTATGTTTTCACTGAGAGTTAAAATAACTAAAATAATGAATTACATTTTAGTACAGAGGACTTGGTGCCGGACTGGTACATTTATATTTTAAGAAGCTTTAGTGTGTGCTAAATATTATGATTGGCAGTTTTGGATGAACTTTCCTCAAAAGTGCACACTGCCAAGGGGCCAAGCACCTCAGTACCTGTGTATTAAGAGGTAGACACCGAGAACTATGGGAACAAAAATGTGTGATCAATTCTTCCCCCCCAAAAAATTTACTGAAGTCATCACAGAGGGGATAGCGGAATTGGTTTTTGATAGGCAAGTAGGATTCTTTCTGGGAAAGCAATGAAGAGTTCATGTTACGGGGGCTGGAGAGGTGGCTCAGTAGTTTAGGGTACTTTTTACTTTGGTGGAGGACTTGGTTTCAGGTTCCAGCACCCACGTGGCAACTCACAATTGTCTGTCACTCCAGTTCCAGGAGGTCCTATCTACTTCTGATCTCTGCATGTTCGGCATACATGTTGTATACATACACACACTCAGGCATGTGCATACACACACACAAAATAAATATTGAAGAAGAATTCATGCTATGGGAGCAGCATGATCATACATGTAAATGTGCCTGCCATGTACACTGTAAGGTGTACAATGTAGAGAAATGAACAAAGTTGATCAAAGTTCCCAGATTTTGGATACCTCAGTATGATTTCTGTTCAGTGAGAGCAGTTCTACAGTTAACAGAACATTCCTAGGATGAAGGAAGGGTATTTCCACATCACTGTTATTTTTAGTTGTGTGCGCTTAGGGTGTATATGAGTACATGTGTGTGCATGGAAGGTGCAATGTGGGGAGAGCAGAGGTTGACACTGGGTGTCTTCCTCAATTACTCTCCACTCACTGAGTCTGGAAGTTTCTGATTTAACAAGACTGGCTGACGAGAGAGCCCCAGGGATCCTGCTGTTTCTGCCTTTTCAGCATCGCCACACAGCAGCATTATGTGCACTCTGAGGAATCAAACTCAAGTCCTCATGGTTGCATGGAAACCACATCACCACCAAGCCATCTGCTGGCCCTGCCTCATCTTTCTTTGAGTTTCTCCTCATGCTTGTCTTAGTTGAAGGTTTCTATGGCTGTGAAGAAACACCGTGGCCAAAGCAACTCTTACAAAGGAAAACATTTCATAAAGGGTGGCTCGTTTACAGTTGCTGAGATTCCTTCCATTATCATCATGACAGGGAGCGTGGCGGCATGCAGGATGACGTGGTGCTGGCTACATATCGATCAGAAGGCAACAGGAAGTGAGACACACCGTGTAGTATCCTGAGCATAAGATATCTCAAATCTAGCTCCCACAGTGACACTCTTCCTCCAACAAAGCCACACCTCATAATAGGGCCACTCCCTATGTGATGATAGAGCCCAATTATATTCAAACTTCCACACTTGTGAACTTGGGGCATACTTTATAATGATTTTTGGTCCTTCAATAAATGACCTATGAATGCATTTAAGAAGAAAATGTTCTCATTGTCTTGCAAGTTTAGACTAACAGAAAACTTTGCATAAATTATAGAAAATACTATGCATATCTTCAAAGAGCAGCAGAAAAGTTTAGCCACTAACATTCTATTTTATTATGTCTCTGTGTGTGGTGTATGTATGCATGTTCGCATGTGTATATTACTACGTGTATGTCCATGTATGGGTGAACATACATGTGGAAGCCAAGGTTGATGCCAGGTTCCTTTCTTGATCCCTTTCCACCTTATATATTGACTCAGAGTCTCTCCCCTGAACCCAGACGTCATTAATTGATCCAGTCTAGCTAGCCAGTTGCCAGGGATACTGTCCCTGTCTCCCAAGCTCTGGGATTACAGATTCCAAGCCTGCTTGGCACTGGGTTCCAGGGGGTCTAATTCAGGTCCTCATCCTAACATGACGAGTACTTTATCTATTTACCAAGCCCAATCCCCAGACCCGATGTTACTCTTCTATGTTCTCCAAATAATAAAATCTGGATGATGCACCAGCCTTTCCTTCGCTCTCCCACTTCTCCATCTCCCTTCTTGTTTTACTTTTACATACTCACCATCTCATCTCCTCCCTGACTCTCATTTTGACAGTGTCTTCCAGCACTCTGTGTACTGACAGTCGAGAAAAGAGTTTGGTCATTTTCAAGCACTAGATGGCACACCAGTTATTCCCTGCCCCCTTTTCTTCCTCTTCTCCTTGGCTTTATTTTGGGGGACGAGGACCCAACGGTCATTGTAAAGCTGGGGGTAACAGGCTCCAGACTGAGTTCCAACCATGGTTCCTAAGCAGCATCCCAGACCTGTCCCGCAGATAGCTTCTTCCACCCCCCACCCCCCCCCCCCCCCCCCTCCCAATCTAGGAGGTTAGTGAGAAGATGGCGCTGGAGCTGTTTTAAAGGAACGCACCTTCCAAACTGTGAGTCAGAGCTCAGGGAACCACTTCTCCTGGAGCCTGATTGATCTCTGAGGCTGCCCTTTCTTCTACAGTTCCCCAGTACAAACGGAACGCCTGGTTCTTAGGACCCAGAGAACTGGTGACTGACTGGTCAGGGATTTCTGCCTTAGAAAACCCAGGGCTCCCCTTGCCTATTCTTTTTGCAATTGTTTGTTTGTTTGCTTGTTTTTGTTTTTCAAAACAGGGTTTCTCTGTGTAGCTTTGGAGCCTGTCCTAAAACTCACTCTGTAGACCATGCTGGCCTTGAACTCATAGAATTTTATTTCATTCTGTCTTGGTGGACCACAAAAGCACATCATAAATGGAGAGGATCGGATGTTATGGGCCAAGAGAGAGGACTGGATGCCATGTGCCAAGGGAGAACATTGGATGTTGTGGGTCAAGGGAGAGGATTAGATGCTGTGGGTCGTTCCCTGTATTTTACACCCCCAACAACTGTTTCAAAAATCCTTGTAAATTTACCAGATTTTAAAAACTTCTGAGGGAATGTTATGTGAGTAGAGTAGAATTGTTAAAATGTAACAGCAAGATTTAGGGCTGGAAGTAGAACTCAGTGGTGGAGAACATGTCTACATTCTATTCACAACATCAAAGAAACAACAATAGCTTGTCCCCATCACAGAAAACAAAACAGGATTTGCTCAATGAGCAGCTGTTTTTAAAGTCTATTATATGCCAAGCACCCTGCTGCTGAGGCAGAGTTCTCTACAAAGCTCGCAGTGTAGCTGTGAAATGGAGAACGTGGCGGTTTAGCCTATGAGGGAATTATTCCAATGGATGTACATTGCTGTAGCAGAGAAGGGGGGACGCGGTTAGTTTACTTTGGGGTGAAGATTCCTTGCATCGGACTCGAGAGATGGCTAGCACCTGCCTAGACTCAGTTCCAGGGGTCACTGGCAAAGGCACGGAGGCGTGGAACAGCGTGGCTCAGTTGAGGAACCACAGCCTGGACACGTTTTCCTCCTTAGTAGAGCTCTGTTGTCGCAGCCCGGCCTCTGACGTGTGAACACAAAAAAGTCTTCTCATTAACAAGTCTCGTTTCTTTTCAGACCTTAACCTCACCATGAAGACGAATATTATCAACACGTGGCGGTCCTTTGTAAGTATCCCCAATGCAATCGTCCCCGCTCCTGGACAGGAAATCCGGCGGATGGAAAACGGAGCTTGCAGGTGAAGCTATGCTCCTTCTCACGCCTTGTTAATGCAAGCCCAGTTTTTTTTTAACTTATCTAGGTTTGATTTCAATTTAGCTTTGTAATATGTATTCTTAAAATTCATAATCTATCTAACTTAGTGAATGTATTTATACTCTGAACCAGCAAAGCTTGTCTATCGTGTGAAGACTGTTATGGAGGGTCGTTTATGGAAGCACCTATTAAGTGACTGTGACAAATACTTCTTTACTCACAGATAGGGTCTTTCCCCATGGAAAATATAAAATCCAGATAGATGACATTGCTATGCATCAATGTGAAAAGGTATATAGAATATGAAATCTAACAATATAATTTGATAGTATAATTTGAAATAGTTACCCTTAAGTGACTAGAATATGTGTGTGTGTGATAGAATTTTCTTTTAATAGAAAGAAATATCAGGAAGTGGTAGTTCATTCATATGTATAAAATAATCTAAAATTAGACACTACACTTGCTATCAGATAAACATTGTTGTCGACCAGGGCATCAAACAGTAGAGATGCTGAAGACTTAGCGTGTATTCCTAGCAATCACTGAGAGAGGGCGCACACTCTATAAAATGCTATGTTCCTACCTATTCTCACCATACATGTGCGTGGGTCTGAAGAGGGGTGGAAAAAGATGGAGTGAGGGCTCACCTGGATGACAGGTGGCCTTCCTCTGAGCCGGTTAGAACATGAATCCTGTTCACCTCTGCTTCCCTTTGAATGGCAGCTCCTTTTCTGACGACGACAATGCCTCTCTGTCTGAAGCAGAGAGTGAGGACTCTTTCTTTAGAAACGGCTCACAGAGAGGGCGAGGACCATCCCAGAGGTAAGCAGGGCCATCTACCCTCGGAATCCTTCTTTTAAATATCACTAGAATGCAAAGTCTCCTGTTCCTGCTACGGAGTGGCTTGACACATGCTCTTGTCAATGAGATACTTTGCAAGATCTCATGAGTACCTTGCTATTTCTGTCTCTTACCTTTGCCCTCTTTTGGAAAGCTACTGACGTTCAATTATTTATGACCCCAGGGTTCCCAGTCATAAATATTCCCCGTCACGTGCCCTGGAACTAATGCCTGTTCCTCGGAAACCTGTCCCGTTTCCTCCCTCGACCTGAACCTGCAGGAACAAGGGTCCCGAACACTGAGATGTTGAGTAGGAGAACTGGGGATGGGAGATAAAGATGAGAAAAAGAGAAGACAAAGCAATAGCTGGGACCAGGCGGCATCGCATAGGATGACCTATGCCGAGCAACTTTAAGAAGTACAGCTTTATATATACTATCACGGGAAGAAAGTGGCCAAGGGCAGCAGAGAGCTGAATCAGATGATGTTAGCAAAAAGAATACATCTCAGACACAGATGCCCCAGGGCTGATCATCACAGCCCCTGGGAAGAGCTGGGTCTTCAGAATCTACAATCTTGACTCCTTCGAGGCCCTGGCTCCAGTCTCAGACTGGCCTTGTCAAATCTGTTCCTGGACAAGGACAGAGAACTAGAGTTGCCTTTGTCTTATCATCAGGGCCTCTTAGAAAGCCTTGGGTAGGTCTGGGTCCCCACATTTCCTTGATTTCCTACTTCTTTTGAATTCCTTCAGGGTCCTGGAGCAGCTGCACACGAGAGGGTGGGCTATCATTCTCTAAACTGCTAGATCTGGCAGAGCCTGCTCCCAGGAAATAAAATGTGAGACTATAAAAGTATAATGTCCATACAGGAAGTAAAGCAGGCATGTTCAAGTATAGACCCTGAAGCCATTGAAGACTGAAGGAGTGTGGTAGAGTAGGAATCAGGGTTTCCGATCCTATGCAATGTACTGTATTCTTTGTTATCATTTTCCCTCTTTTTATTCCTTCCTGTGTCTAACTATAGCTTCCCACTATTTCTTTGAAGTATTTATTCCTCCTCTTTCTGTCTTCTCTGACTATCTGGGGTCTTTTGGTGGAAGTCGGTGCCATCCATCTGGGCTCACTCCAGACCGGAGATGATGCTAATTTTGGTATGCACCTTAACCAACAGTCATTCGCTAACCACTGTGGGGTCAGTGCACTAGCTTCTGGCGAGCTGTGTGTCACAGAGGTTCCGTACATCTTAAATAGTAACCTGGGCAATGCTATGAAGTGAGCAGGAAACTGTAAGTCGTTTGATTTTTAAGGCAGTTTGCTGACCATGAGCAGGGTGGTCATTGCACTCTCTCTGTGTTTTTCCTCTTCCAGGGAGCAGTACTTGCCAGGCACTGTGGCTCTTTTCAATGTTAACAACAGCAGCAACAAAGACCAGTAAGTACGTCTATGGAGGAAAATAAAGACAAGTAAAAAAATAACTGGCAGTATCTGTACTTGAGATACAGCTAATACTTAGACTTGTACTAATTTAACAGAAGTGATCTTCTATTATTTTCTTGTTTGCTTTTCTTGTTAAATATATATTGTTTATATCTGGAAAATGCAGCTGTTCCCTATTAAAAGTAACGTATATATTTTACTCCTTTACTTGGGTATGTTTTTAAAAGGTTCATGTTATATATGCAATTGCCCTTCCTTAGGACAGAACGGATGTCAAAGGTCACACAACACTGAACCCTTGTACCTTGGACCACATTCTTCAGGAGACAGCCTCTGAGATAGAGGTCTGTGTGCAGATATTTATGGAATGTGCCCTGTGGCATGACACCCTGGAGGGAGTAAGGGTGACAGAATTAACTGGGCAGAGGGAGATGCTGATTTCAGAGAAGAGGTTTGCTCTTAAGGGAGTTTTGGCATCTGTATGTGCTTTCAACTCTGTGCCATCCTCAGCTGACAGAACTGGGCCTTTGCAGTCACACGGAGTCATCCAATGAGAGCAGTCCCAGGAAGCTGGGAGATAGATTTTAGAATGGTAGTGGTTTCCTTGTTCTAGGCCTTCCTTCCGGGGCCAAGGAGAAGCTGGGTTGTCAGCAATTAAATGTTGGTGCATTGAGGATGAATACCTGAGACCTATGTGTAATTGTAGCCTCACAACCCAGCTGTGCCCTGCTCAGATGCACTCTTTTAAAGGAAAATTCTGGGCTGCCCTCTTCCGGGCTTCTGGATGTTCTTTTGTCCTGTTCAAGCTTGCAAGAAGAACATCAATGGGATGCAAAAAGATCTCTGACAACGTTAGATGTTTCTGAGGTTTACATAGAAACCCCTTATCTTCTTTAATTCATTCTAGAGCCCTGCCATCGTTGTGTAGATTTTCTCCCAGTCTAGGGAAATGCAGACATTTAGCTAATCACCATGTCCATCCACTATAAAAGATGGGCTGGGGAATTCCAAAAGATGCCATCATGGATCCTGTGCCCATCAGATACTTTTCTGCTTTCTCATTGCATGACAGCAGCGCTGCCTACTTTTGATGATCAGCATTATAAACTTTCCAGTCTGGTGATTCTTCTCTGCCAATTGGTTTCTTGGAATGAGAAGTCGAAAGTGGCTAGGAACTAGTCATAGATTAATATTTAATAGGACTGTAACTGTTCTCTTTGGCACAAGTGTAGATGCTCTTTCATCAAATGAGGACCTCTAGAGTCACAAAACCTAGGTGTGCAGGGTTGGGAAGTGTACTTTCCCTAATTAAGTACCTTAGTTCCTAGGCCGATTCATTCTGTTCATGTGTAGGTGTAGAGCACCACCTAATGACCAGCCTCTTCTCACACACACAGTGTCCTGGATTATAGTAACTCACCTTCAAGAAATCTGCACTCCATGGCAACATTTCAGTGGTGCCTTCTGAAGCTCACTCCATACCTGTACCATGTCAGACACTTCTGGGTGGAGTAGCATATGATAAGACCATTAGATTCCAAACTCAGATTCTGTGCTGGCTACTTTTCTGTCAACTTGACACAAGCTAGAGTCAGTAGAGAGGAGGGAGCCTCAGTTGAGAGAATGCCTCCATTAGATTGGCCTGTAGGGTATTTTCTTACTTCCTGATTGATGAGGAAGGGCCAAGTCCATTGTGGGTGGTGTCATTACTGGGCTGGTGGTGCTGGGTTCTATAAGAAAGCAGACTGAGCAAACCATGATGACCAAGCCAGTAAGCAGCACCCCTCCATGGCTTCTGCATCAGATCCTGCATCCAGGTTCCTGCTCTGCTTGAGTTCCTGTCCTGACTTTCTTTGATGATGAATAGTGTGATGTGGAGGTGTAAGCCAAATAGACCCTTTCCTCCCTCTCTTGCTTTTGGTCATGGTGTTTCATGACAGCAATAGAAACCCTAACCAAGGCAGTATCTAATGCCACTCTTCTGTAAAGTAGACACAAAGTGATGCTGCATAGCACTCTGTGTAGGTGGGCCATGCTTTAGAAACGCCTACACAGGGATCCTGGTCAAGTTTGTAGCAAAAAGCAATATATACCACAATATAAATCAGTTAGTATCAAAAATATTTGATGTCTTTTCTCTGTTGGCAAGGATCCAAGGCAGTTAATTTGCCATCAAATGACTACTCTCCTTAAGGGTTAAGCATGGAGTCATGTTATAACAGCGGTGCTACCTACATGATCCAAATGCCCTGTAACTGAAAGACATGTTTGACACCAGCTATACTGATCAGGAGGCCAAACATGGCTTTTATTTTTTGTTGCCATGGATGCTGTATTTTTAACTATATTGTGCCAGCGTGTAGATGTCACATGGAGGCTGGATTTATCAGCTGAGTCCTTCAGTCTGCTTGGTTATTCTCTCACCCGGGGCACAAAGATTTTCAAATGTTGTGTCCATGACTCTATTAGTCTACCTTTTCTCTAGAACTGCTCTGCCTGATCATTCAGTCCTTTTCCCACCTAGGTCCTTAGCCAAACAGTTAAGGCATTTGCGAATCTTCATGTATCCTTAAGTTAGCCACACTTTTCCCATAGAAAATGAGCGACTGAATGGTACTTGAAGCTGTGTCACTGGGGAGATTGACTACACCACTGTGTTTCAAAACCACTTATAGTTTCATAGTATAAACATAGCCTCCTTGGGGTTGCCCACCCGACCCATCCACGATCTATGCTCCAATAGTTACTCCTAAGGAAACCCTTCCTACAGGTAGGCCATGACGGGTGGGTGCCCATGAAATAGCCCTAAGCGACATGGGATGGCATGGTGTGCTTATCCGCCTTCTCAGCTGCTTACTTCTTCCCTGTGGTTCCTGTTGTGTCTCAGGTCTCCTGTTTGATCATATTCTGGGTTAATGTCCAACCTCATGATCTGATTGAATGACCACAGAGCTTTTTTTTTATTAATCACGAAAAAAAATGCTGTCCACAAGATTATTCTCTTGAAAAAGAATTTATGACATTTTCTTGAGATTTTTGGTGTTTTAAATTAAATGTATATGTGAACAGTATTCAAAACCTAAAGTAAAAAAAAACATTACAAGCTGGAGAGATAGCTCAGAGGTTAAAAAAAAACATTACTTTCACATATTATAATTCTGGAAGTATACTTATTCGGAAACTTATTTATTTAAAGTTAGTGAGTTCTTTTTTTCATATTTTACTCTGTCCTTTTAAACTTTTGTTTTCTGTTAACCTGGACATGTTTGGCTTATCTGTCTGGATACCTGTTTGATTTTGGCCACCATTTTAGTTTCCAAGTACCGTGGTAGGACTTTGACTGCACAGCTAAGAACCATTGCTCAATGGAAAGCAAAGTAGTAAGAAACTGGGGTTGAACGATGTGATCATGTGACAGATGCTGTTTTTCTTTAGAGACCCAAAAGAAAAAAAGAAAAAGAAGAAGGAAAAGAAGAGGTAAGTCAGACTTGGCATGAGTGCCCCTAAATGTTTTTCTGCCTGTGCATTACTTGCATATGGTAACAATACATACTCAACTTTTCCAGCAAGGCAGATGATAAAAACGAAAATAAGAAGGACCCAGAGAAGAAAAAGAAGAAGGAGAAGGAAAAAGAAAAGAAAAAGAAGGAGGAGAAAGGCAAAGACAAGAAAGAAGAGTAAATAGTTTTTACTGGTATTGGAAACAGAAATGAGCTTGCAATGGGTTTTAGACGTAGGTAAAATTTCCCAAAGAAAGCTTTGAGCAAAGAGCCCCAGGTGAAAACAAATATCTTTAAATACTTAAAAACAAACATTTTTGTATAAATTGTTATCAAAATAGATTAAAAACTTTCTTCTAGGTTCCCTAAAATTAGCAAGTATAAATTTTCTAATTAAGAATTTTTGCTGTGTTGGGAAATTTTCCCTCACAAGCATCACTGAGGAAGAACTTCCCACTAAATATTCAGGATAATGATCATTGGGTACCTAGGAGCTCATGAGTCTGTAAAGACCAAAATAAAACTTGATAATCTCATCAACACTTCGGAGTAGTCTCTGCTGTCTGACAAGTATCCTAAAGCCACGAGGCTTTCAGCAACAGCACAAGTGCCTTCCAAACCCTGGCTGTTGAGGGCCTCCTTTTCAAGCAGACAGGCGAAAGCTAGAATTTCCCAAGAGTAAGGCAAAGTTATGTTTGCAAAGCTTTTAAAGAAAAAAAATTACCAAAGATAACTTGTTCTACAAAACAACCTATCAAACAACAATTCAACTATTTGTGCCTGTTCCAAAATTTGCTGAAGCTTGCGCAAGGAAAAGAAATTCTTAAAGATATCGACTTGGTACCAGAACATTTAAAACACTCTAGTATTGATCGAGTGTTTTATTCCTTTATCCTTTATGCCCTCTACTACCTCCCTCAAAGATCATTCCTGAAAATATTTGATTGAGAACTATACTAAATTGTGCTGCACTATCGTCTTTCTCTACAGATGAGTTGCTGAGTCACACCCCTTCCCCATCAGTGTAGTTCATGGTCATTTTGTTTCCAGATAGGGGTAGGGAATTGATGGCAAAGTCACCATTCTCTCAACCTTAACCTTACAGAGGATTGTTGGGAAGTCTATAGTTTCCAGTAATTTATATCCTTATTTGCACTCAGTGATTGGGGTATAAAGCAGACAGCATCACTGTGGTAAGCACAGGGCTTCAGTGAAATTCTAACATATGGTTCAATGTAGGACTGGTGATTTAACTCTCTATTCACCCCTTACTAACTAGCCAGTTTTTATGGTGAATATAATTATTGAGCTAATCTTCCTAAGTTAAGGGGATCCATTTTCTATTTACTCATGGTTGATTGACATGCCATATTTGATATGATAAATAACTGTGCTCTTCGTTTCTAATTGTGGCTAGGGAGAAGAAAGAAGTGGTGATTATTGATCCTTCAGGAAGCACGTACTACAACTGGCTGCTTTGCATTACTTTACCTGTGATGTACAACTGGACAATGATTATTGCAAGGTTTACATATATGTTTTCTGTGGATATCAGAGCACTTAGAAGCCTACTGCCAACATACTTTGACCTAGGGTTCTTGGGGCAATCTTCTCCACTACATGTTGGGAAATGTGGCTGAATCATTCTCAATGTGTTTACCTGAGGTCAGGGTGTCTTTGATTCTCAACGTATGTAGACATACAGTCCTGGGATGGGACGGGGAAGAGAGTAGAAGTGTTCTTTTAAACTTCTAATTGTTCAGTCATGGGATTCGGACACTAGGAGAAACGTAATTCTTGGTCTATCATATATAATGATGATGATGATGACGATGATGATGATGATGATGATGATGATGATAATGACGCCCATAATGGAAAACAATGAAAGATCTGGTATCTTTTAGAAACATCTCAGTTGTTCAAGATTAGGAACATTTTTCCCTGAAGCTTTTTGGGTATAGACAGGGAATACAAGCTTTGTGATCAATGAAGTTTCATCCCGTGATATTTGATTTTAGCTTCAAGCTATTTATCAATTTAAGCATATATATGGGATATGTGTGTGAGGGTGCACATGCACATGTGTGCATATGTATGTGGAGGCCAGAGGTCAGCCTTGTGTGTCCTCAGGATGCTCTCTACCTTGTATTTTGAGATAGGGGTTCTCACTGATTGGCCGATATGACTAGACTGGTTGGAGTGAAACACGGGGCCATGCCCCTCTCTGCTGCTCCAGAGCTAGGATGACAAGCATGTGCCAACACGGCAGTCTTGTTGTTGGTATCGCGCTTGTTAATGTGGGTTCTGAGAACTCATGCTTGCACAGCGAGCACCTTATCAGTGGAAGGATTGCCAGCTGAAACAATGTATTCGTTGGTGGTGGTGGTGGCTTTTGAGACAGGGGTTTTCTGTTGTAGCCTTGGCTGTCATGGAACTCTCTCTTTTGACCAGGCTGGCCTTGAATTTAGAGAGCCTCCTGCTCTGCTTTCCAAGTACTGGGATTAAAGGCGTGAGCCATCATGCCCAGCTAATTCTTTTCTTTTTTTTTTTTTTTGGCTTATTTAACTTTATTTTCTGTCCATTGGTGTGAAGGTGTCAGATCCCCTGCACTGGATCCCCAGGCAGTTGTGAGCTACTATGTGAGTGCTGGGAATTGAACCCTGGTCCTCTGGAAGAGCAGTCAGTGGTCTTAACCACTAAGCCATCTCTCCAGCCACAGCCCAGCTAATTCTTATCGAATGTCTATCTATACAAGTCCAACTAGTATTGACGGAAAAGATGTTACAATTCAGAAATATGGGGAAATGAATTATTCCCATGAAAGGACTAATTTGGAAAAACTGTGATTGACCAAATGCATTCTAAAAACCCCTTTAGCCTTAGCATGTTGTATGTCCCATCACAAACAATATACACAAAGGGACAAAGGGACTTTTTATTTCAATTCGTCTCCATGTCATTTTTTTTTAATGCATGTCTTTCTTTTACAGAGCATGTTTTGACGAACTCCAGTCTGATTACATAGAATACTGGCTCATTTTTGATTACGTATCAGACATAATCTACGTTGTTGATATGTTTGTACGAACAAGAACAGGTACGTGTGATCTACTTTGGGTCGTCTGAAATTTCTTGCTTTTATCTCCACCCAACTGTTCTTCAAGGTAAACTCACAACCTCAGCTGAAAACATGAGTGACATGTTCCCCCTCGCTGGCTTAGGTCACTCCAACTGATCCAGAAAGATGTTAATGTTTTTTACATTTATTTATTTATTTATTGTATATGGGTGTTTTGCCTGCATGTTTGTCTGTGTACCATGTGCATGCAATACCAGAGAAGGCCAGAAGAGGGTGTCAGATCCCCTAGGCCTGGAGGTACAGACTGTTGTGAGCTACCATGTGGGTGCTGGGAATTGAACTCAAGTCCTCTGGAAGAGCAGCCAGTGCTCTTACCCTCTGAGCCATCTCTCCAGTCCCCTAAGTAATCTTTTGAGTGTGGCTTAGTGGTTTTCCTTCGTTATTTTAGTCATTTGGCTTATGCCAGGCAGAAGAATAAAGAACAGAAATATTTAGTCAGTCTCTGTGGGTAAAGGGCAATCTCTGCCACATATGGAGATACTTTGAAAGGGCACAAAGAAAGTGTCACTGCTTTCCAGGAGCCCCTTAATAGAGGTTTTACAGGAAATATAAACTTTGTAGTTCACAGAGGTGTATGTTAAGTAGGGTTTACCGATCTACTGCCTCTCTACTTAGTGTTTAGTAAGCAGGTGTAAAGAGTATTGTTTTCACACTGCCCGCTCCCCTCCACCCCGCTGTAAATGCTACACACAGCATAGAAGCCTCTAGGAGTCCCTGAAAGCTTGCTCTTTAGAGGGCAGGGCAGGGCTCAGCTGCCGGAGCTTGCCTGTCGCTTTGGTAGCCACTGTAGGAGAAGAAACAAAGTCCCTTTCCGACACAAGGCTTCAGTAGGCACGCGAGGCCCACAGAGACAGCCCAGAAGAGAAGATCCTAGGTAATGAAGGACGGCCTGCAGGACAAGAGCGAGAAGGGCAAATGCAGTCTGAAGGGAGATTGATGTTTCATGCTGAAGGTCAAAAGCGTGTTCATGAGAAACAGTATGATAAAGGGGCAGGTGTCGACACTTCTGAGAGCAGGCCTAGGATTCTGCCAAGGAGTATCTGCAATGTTTGCTACAATGTCATCGTTCTGAAGCTAACTAGAGTTAGTGAGACCCTGCAGGTTAAGGACTGGGCCTGGTAAGGCTCTTCCTTACTTCAGGTGTCTGGCACACTGCTGGAAGCAAACACCTGTATTTTGTTTACAGCCATCTTACGTTCACAAGTAAGATATTCACCTTTGCAGGCAAGTTCTGGACCTAGGACATTAGCCTAGTGAGGCCTGCAGGCACCAGACTTTTAGCAAACAATTTGCATTTTCCTTTGTTAGTCAACAATCACAGACCCTCAGGATTCACTTATCAGCTGGGGTCGGCTCCAGGCCTGAATTCCAGCAGACCTGACACACCTCCCCTCCCACTGGCCGGTTTGCTATATAACAGCTTCTGAGGATATAATAAACGGCGGTTTGATCAGATATACTGTCTTGCCGTCATTTCTCATGTCTCTGGCTCTTCCATTCCTCTCCCATAGGTTTATCAGGGACCACCGTTCGCATCCCGCTGGTCGGGATAGACACGACTCAACCTGCATTTCTGATTAAATAAGTATACGTTAGGCTTCCCACAATCCCTCCTCAGCTTCAGCTATTGACTTGCATGGCTCACCAAACCAAAAAGCAAAACCAAAAACACATTTTCTAGTTTATTCTATTAATAAAGGTTGTAATAAAAGACGTGAACAGGCAGATGCCGAGGTACGGAGAACAAGTGTAGAAGGGCTTGAGAGCAGGAGCTGCTGTCCTCGCGGAATTGGGTTATGACATTCTTCTAACACCCTACATTTGCTCTCTCACTTGGATGCTCTCTGATCCCCAAAGCTGTGGGACCCTCACCCCTTATTCTCAAAGGGGCGAGAAGAAATTTCTTAGCAGAATATTTTCCCAGGAAGATAATGGCCTTCCCCTCTCCCAGGGAGATTCTGAGCACAAGGTCACTTTGCTCAGCCCAGCTAGCCACCTGGTACAGGCTGATAAAGATGGCCTAACTCAAGAACAGTGGCCTTGCTCTAAGAACAAGAAAAATGCTGACTTAGCAAGATGGGAGGGAGCAAAAGTCCTTGCATCCGTGCCAAAGCAGCTCCAAAGAGTCTCTTTGGAGTTATGCCTTTAAAAGCTTACCCCACAGAGGAGATACAACTCCTCTCTCTACCTCGTTGTAACGGGGATGGAGATGAGTTCCAAACATGTTTGTATTATGCTGATTAAACCTTGCTTTTTACAGTCTGGGCCTCTCTGGTGGTCTCTCTGGGGGTTGTAATCTGGGCACAACAAAGCCAATGATCTTTATGGAAGGCTTTTATTGTACAGTAACAACACAATAAGTAACAAAATTAAGTTCCTTTCCAGCATCCTCCTCCTGGAGAAAGTGGGGGTGGAGGTTAAGAATATCAAGTCTGTAAATGTCTGTTTCTGGGGACCAGCCCCATCAGGCCTGCCAGGAGTGGCCTTACAGAACAAAGATATCTTTACCACCAAGAAATTCAAAGCACTGGAGCTCTGCATTGGGAGCTGAGGCCATGACCAAATATCAGAACAAAAGATACCACTAGCATTTTGGTTTCTCAGGAAAGCGTAAGGATTTTAACAGTGGTGTGTCAGAAATTGGGGACAGGAACCAAATGTGCAACTTATAATAATGCTGCAGAATATGAATGTGATTCATTAGAGAAATGATTTTACCTGTGTAACCAAAATCATATATCAAAGGATCAATTAATCAATCATTCTATCTACCTACCTATTTACCTATCTGTTTATAGATTACCTTTATACTAAAAAGTGTCATTTTTCTATTTCTACAACAGACTCTTCTATAATGACATGTAGGTTTGGTCACAGGGGTCATTGTACAACTAGGAAACAGCCTGGCTTTCCTCTCTTCTACCGCAGGTTATCTGGAACAGGGGTTGCTGGTGAAAGACAAAGTGAAACTCATAGAGAAGTATAAAGCCAACTTTCAGTTTAAACTTGATGTCCTGTCAATGGTGCCCACTGATCTGCTGTATTTCAAGATGGGGTGGAACTATCCAGAAATTAGGTTAAACCGACTGCTAAGGATCTCTCGAATGTTTGAGTTCTTCCAGCGGACAGAGACAAGGACCAACTATCCAAACATCTTTAGGATTTCCAACCTCGTCATGTACATCGTCATTATCATCCACTGGAATGCGTGTGTGTACTACTCCATCTCGAAGGCCATCGGGTTTGGGAATGACACATGGGTCTACCCCGATGTGAATGATCCTGAATTTGGCCGTTTGGCTAGAAAATATGTCTACAGCCTTTACTGGTCTACGCTGACTTTGACAACCATCGGCGAAACTCCACCTCCTGTCCTGGATTCTGAGTATATCTTTGTGGTAGTTGACTTCTTAATTGGCGTTTTAATTTTTGCCACCATTGTCGGTAACATAGGATCTATGATCTCCAACATGAACGCAGCCAGGGCGGAATTCCAAGCACGAGTTGATGCGATCAAGCAATACATGAATTTCCGAAATGTGAGCAAAGATATGGAAAAGAGGGTTATTAAATGGTTCGACTACCTCTGGACCAACAAAAAAACAGTTGACGAGAAAGAAGTCTTGAAATACCTACCTGACAAGCTAAGGGCAGAAATCGCCATCAACGTCCACTTAGACACGTTAAAAAAGGTCCGCATCTTTGCTGACTGTGAAGCTGGTCTGTTGGTGGAGCTGGTGCTGAAGCTACAGCCCCAGGTGTACAGTCCTGGCGACTACATATGCAAGAAAGGGGACATCGGGCGAGAGATGTACATCATCAAGGAAGGCAAACTTGCTGTGGTGGCCGATGACGGAATCACCCAGTTTGTCGTGTTGAGTGATGGCAGCTACTTCGGTGAGATCAGCATCCTCAACATCAAAGGCAGCAAGGCTGGCAACCGAAGAACAGCCAATATTAAAAGCATTGGCTACTCAGACCTGTTCTGCCTCTCAAAAGATGACCTCATGGAAGCGCTTACGGAGTACCCAGACGCCAAAACTATGCTGGAAGAGAAAGGAAGGCAGATCTTAATGAAAGATGGTCTACTGGATTTAAACATTGCAAATCTGGGCAGTGACCCCAAAGACCTGGAAGAAAAGGTCACACGAATGGAAGGCTCAGTTGACCTCCTGCAAACACGATTTGCCCGCATCTTGGCTGAATATGAGTCGATGCAGCAGAAGATCAAGAAAAGGTTAACCAAGGTCGAGAAATTTCTGAAACCACTTATCGAAACAGAATTTTCAGCTCTCGAGGAGCCTGGAGGAGAAAGTGAGTGAGCCCACAGAGTCTGCATGGGACTGAAAAGCTGGACGTCAACAGAAGCATGCACATCTCGTAATCTTCATGAGCACTTGGCCAGAAACAACTGTACAGTGGAAGAAACAGATTCGTCTGGGAAGTTTTTCTACGGGGAAAATGTGTGTGGCTGGATGGCATAAAGCCGTTGTGCAATACTACAATTAAAGACTCATCTAGCCCTGGGATTTTTCACAATGGGTCGTGTGCAAGGACTGGACTGATTACTGTGTCTGTGACAGGATATGCTTCCCCCCCACAGATGCCCCTTTTCTGTAATAATCTTTGTAAAAGCGAATCAGTATTTCACACTTTCAAGCCGCTTGCATTGTTGAGGAGTCTGTTCAGTGTGACTGTGCACACTGTGTTTGAGATACAGTTTTATGAAGAATTAGGATGCAATAAAGTGAAACTGATTACAAATCCAGAGTAAATATGATTTATCTGGTGACTAAGTAGGGAATAGTAGTGTCTGGCAGACTTCAGGCCACTTGAAGGATACTTGCCTTTGTGGTAAGATAAGTCTGGAAGGGTGATTGAGGGAAACTTCTTACTGATAGGAGCATAATAAATCAGATTTTATGACAAGAAAATATATGTGGACATGAGTATTCCAGTGTTTATTGACATCACAAGATGATGTAGGAATCTTTTAATGTTACTGTTAAGGAGCTCTCGGAGTATTAAGGCTTGACATCAGAGACTTCTTCCTTTCCTGTCTGAGTTTTTATTTCACTTCCTCCAAACTCACACTGATGCTTTTACATTGGACTGCTGATGGGTGTTTGGTCAAAAGCCTGAGGTAAGGAATTATGCAATTCCTTTCTTACTCCTCTAGGGAGAGGGCTCTGGTGGGCTAATATGCTGTTGATGGTTTAGGTTAGCAATGAAAGGACGCCAATGCAGAGGTTCAAGACTGGGCTCCAGCTTCAACTGGGAGTTAAAAGACAGGATAGCTCTCAGGTGGTGCCCTGGCGGGTTCTAGGGTCCATTTTCCTATATGCTGCAGCTGGTGAGGGGCAGGGCCAGTTCTCTCACCTGCCACCCCATAGCAAGGGGTGTGGGAGAGGGTGTCTTTCCCTCACCCATGCAATCACATGACAGATGAAAGGGACAGGGTCAGGTCTTCGACTGACTCTCATACTCTCAGGGTTGGCTCGCCAGGGTCACTACCAATAGGTTCAACTCAAGTGCTAAACTGGCCTGGCATGCAAAGACATGCAGCTGAGCCAACCCTGAGGGTGAGAACAGGAAAGCTGACCCCGCCTTCCCCCCACCACAGTCGGGACAGAGGGCTCTGCACTTTGCCTGAGGAAAACAGTGGAGCTGGCCCTGGTGGTGGGAGTGTTAGTGAGCTGGACAGAGGGACTGAAAGCAGAACAGGCTGTATTGAATGACTGTCCCAGGTGGTACGGGAGAGTTGGGGGGGGCGGAGTGTAAAAATAGGGGAAAGCTGGTCCCAGGCCCTGGGCTGTGAGTTGGCTCACCCCAACCGCACCTCCTCTATGAACTGTCAGAGCATGAGAAGGGGACAAAACTACAGATCTAAAACTAAGATCTTCACAACACAGCGAAGTCCACGGGGAGTCCTAGTGAGAACCCTTTGTAGATGGTGTGACCGAGGATGGAGGCCTCGAATCAGACAGCTGACCCATGGCCATGAACTCTGCAGATGAAGATGAAAGGACCGAAGGGTAAAATGTATGTGGGAGTCCCTGGGCTTCCCTGGGAAGTGTGTGACCACAGCTGCCACAAAGAGATTCTTTTTTTTTTTTCTTTCTTCTTTCTTTTGCTTTGTTTGCTTGGGTTGTATTTTGCTTTTCTTTTAAAATTTGTTTTGCTTTGGAGGGTTGCAAGAGGGGGATGCTGGGGGTGGGGTGGGGAGATAGGTAGGATTGGGATGTGTGATGTGAAAATCACAAAGAATCAAGATTATATATATATAGACAATACATATGGCTTTGGGGAAGCTCACGCCAAGAACCTGGGAACATGCTAAAGCATGACCTCACCTTTTAGCTATGCAGAAACCAGACCTATCTAGACATCAACTTTTGTCCAGGGTGAGCATCTTTAATGTATTAAGACAAGGACAGACATGGCACCAAGGTGGGCGAGTTTGGGATGAGAGAGGGAGCTAAGGTGGAAGTTTGCAGGTAAATTCTGTGACTTGAAGATGGCAGATCACTGAAGAGGCTGGATACTGGTGAGTGTTCCTCCATGTCCCAGCTCTTTTCTGTGATACTCACAGGAAGAGACAGTTTTGAAGCATTAAGAAAACCCCAAAGCCTGAAGTTGCGTGTTTTTCCATTTAGAAATTATCTAGAGCCTAATTCATCCCTATTATACTGGCTAGTTTCATGTCACCGAGACACAGCTAGAGTAGAGTTATTGGGAAGAGGGAACTTCAGCTGAGAAATGCCCCTATCAGGTTGTCCTGTGAACAAGCTTTGGGGCATTTTCTTGCTCAATAGCTGATGTGGGAGGGGCCCAGACCTCTGTGAGTGGTGTCACTCCTGGGCTGGTGGTGCTGGGCTGTCTAGGAAAGCAGATCAAGCAAGTCGGGAGGAGCATGTCAGTAAACAGCATTCCTCTGTGGCTTCTGTCCCACTTTCTGCCTTCAGGTTCCTGCCCAGAGTTCTTGTCCTGGCTTCCATCAGGGATAGACTTACAAGTTGTAAGGTGAGATAACCCCACCGCACCCCCAACTTGTGAATGGTCATGATGTTTTATCACAGCAATAGAAAGCAATTAATAAGCCATTTAGTTACTTTCTATTGCTGTGATAAAACATCATGACTGGGGAGTGGAGGAAGTCCTGAGTGAGTATATAAGGAGCAGATGAAATCCCGTGTGAATGTGTGCTGTGGACATAAGCACAGCCATGTCAAGGGTAACGATAGCTCAGACTCATGGGAATGGCAAAACCTTCCACGGGGCAGACTCAGGGAAATGGCAAAACCATCCAACGGGCAGACTCAGGGAAACGGCAAGGCCTTCCCCTGGTGGATGTTGAGAGTATAGACAGAAAATGAGACCACAGCTTCCTCCTAGGAGATATTTACAGCCTGAAGCTGCTCCCCTACAGAGATTTGCTACTGAGATGAACTAAGCCTGCCTCCTTGTCCAGCTACACACAATAAACTCACCTTCTTGATTCAGATGTATAGAACAAATGAATTGAGCTTTTGGGTTGCTGCTGGTGCATCTCTACCAGAGTGAACAGTCCACGCAATCCCAGCTTTTCTGTATGTGTCTGTCTTTTCCTTACTCCCCATTGCCCCAGTCAGGTCAATCCCTAAACAATGTAGGTCATGAAAACGACCCTGGCAACTTTTGAAAGGAAGGGTTTATTTGGGCTTATAGTTCCAGAGGTGTAAGCATTCCTTAACATCACAACAGGGAACCAGGGCAGTAGTCAGGCATATCAGTAGAATCAGTTAAAAGCTTAAGCCACAAACAGGAAGCAGAGATAGCAGACTAGGAATGGTGCCAGACTTCTGAAACCTCAAAGCCTACCCCAGTAACACATTTTTTTCTAGCAAGGATATCCCCAACCATCCCTAGACAGCGCCACCAACTGGAGACCAAGTATTCAAATACCCAAGACTATGGGGGACATCTCATCTAAACACCACAGTCTCCAAACTTTGATCCAGGGATGTCAAACAATAACTCATATCTTCACAAGTTACTTTATATTTTAAAAATCACAGAAAGTTTACATAAATGAAGGACAGATTTATCTGCAAAAATCTAGGTTCCTTATTAATGCCTGAAAATTATGCTTACACAGAAGTCAGAGAAAGAATCACTATTGAACCTAATACCTTCACCAGAGGTGGGGACCAAAAGTGTCAGTAGCCACCATGCCTAACAGACCTAACAGACCTGGATTTTGTTCAGAAAGACAAGTATGAGACCTTGTCCTACTTGTCAACACCTCTTAGTTTTGTTTGGAAAGCGAAGACAAGCTTTCACGGCTACTTGAAGTCTTGAAAAATGCCTTGTGCCTTTTTCGTAGTCATAACTTTATGTCTGGTAATACCTTGCTATGGTGAACTGAAGGAATCAGCAAATAAAAAATGAAATAATTGAATACAAATTAAATAAAAAGTAAAGAAAGAATGGTGTGGGAAATCCTTTTATATATGCATTGCTTTGATTGGCTAATAAAGAAGCTGCTTTCGGCCAATGGCTTAACAGAATATAGCCAGTCTGGAAGATTATGTGTGTGTGTATATATATATATATATATATATATATATATATATATATATATATATAGAGAGAGAGAGAGAGAGAGAGAGAGAG